AATTCCCCAGCCAGCGAATGCTGGCTGGGGAATTCTGGGAGTTGAAGTCCGGACATCTTCAAGTTGCCAAGGTTGAGAAACACTGGGCTAGAGCAAATCTTAAGGGCCTAATGATTAGAGAGAAGGTAGGAGAAAGGCTCTTTGCTCAAGCAGACTTGGTTAATGCGTTGTTGAGTACTTAAAATAGAAGTTGCATACAAAACAAGAAATCCAGCTTTATAAGATTATGTAGCCTCTCTCAATTCTCTTTTTATTGCTACCCTTTGATTTAAAATCTGATCAGAACGTTAGGCTCTCTGATTTATTAAATGGCCAGAAGAAATGATCTTTATTGCCGCTGATTTACAGTTCCTTACAAAGCTTTAGAGTTGATTAAAGAAAAGTATTGTGGAGCATGTAATGTTTGTCTCCCTAAGAATCTATTTGTCTAGCCCAAAGGATTAGAGTGACCTTCTCCAGCCTGGTGCCTTTTAAATGTGTTGGGATTCAGCCTTTCATAATCCCTTCCAAATGCTGGCTGGGAATCATGGAGGCTGATCCACAATCACAACATGTAAACCTTAGCCTACTTGGAAGACTGTAAGGTTCATCCTATGTTGCCTGTCATCTGTAGGATTTTTTGATAACTGATGCATATCATATTAATAGCACCTATGGGAATGCTATAGATTTATGTATGCAAAAGGCCAAAGAGTGTTGTTCCAGGCTGACTTAAACATTAGAACTTGTTTGTTAAGATGTTTACCAAGGTTCACCCACAAAAGGGCGAACGACAAAAGCACGCCCGACTAAACCGCGGTGACAAAACCGCGAGTTCTAAACCGCACCGACGAATGAGTGCTGAAGTGCGCCGATAACAGCGCCCAACAGAAGCGCGCTGTAAACCTAACCCTAAACCTAACCCTTAACTTAAATCGCGCTTCTGTCGGCGCGTTGATGACGTCGTGTGATGACATCGCAGTTTTAGCGCTGCGGTTTTGTCGTGCGCGCATTTGTCAGGTCACGGTTTACCAGGAAGGCAAGAAACAGGATTATCATCTTGAGGGAGCAAAAGGAATATGCTGCCTCATCTGGATACAGGGGTTGGGCTGAAATATGGTTGGATTTGACCATAAGATATCTGATACATGACAGAGATAGCAACATTAGATAACAGGTTGAAGGCAGAAGATCAATCAAGGGTCATGGATTTTAGATGTTCATAGAAGATGAGTAGTCAGAAGAAGAGGATATACTGCATCTTGGACTATTGAGGGGATAAAGGGATCGGACCTCAAAGGCCTTCGGACATCAAAGCAGCTACAAATTGAGTCCACTTTTTCATTGCTCCTGACATCTTGTATTTGTTAGGTTTTGTGAAGGTATTGGCATTTGATTAGAGCTTTTCAAAAACTTTTGAAAGGAATAGTTAAAAGATAAATTTAAGAGAGTCTTTAATTTTTTTTAAAAAACAGGATTTTAACCGCGTATATAACTGCTTGTTTACCTCGAAATGTAGAGTCTCGGTTATCTTTTTCTTAACGCCATGGCTTAAAACTCGAGAGTGAACTTACTCAGAAATCCGTGTTTGAGTGCTTGAGAGTAAGGAAAGACGAGCTCGCAATTTGTAAGACTCACTAGTAATTCACTTTTCCTAAAGAGTTCAGATAAGGTTACGATATCTTTTGCTCTGGGGTTGGGAGAATTGCTTGAACACGCTTACATTCTGGGAGTGAAAGATCGGTGCTGTGTTCTTTTGCAAAAGCTCGTTCTCTGACTCCCAATACTACTTTCTCTTAATTCTCCTTGAAGGACGTTCAGTCTGATGATGAGATCAAACAGGAGATGAATCAACTACAACAGAAATTGAATGAGCAACAGAGCATATTACAGCGAATTGCTGCCCCAAACATGAAGGCCATGGAGAAGCTGGAAAGTGTGAGGGACAAGTTCCAGGAGACCTCCGATGGTACCAAATCACTTTTGTACTCTCAGCTATCTCAGCTTTCCCCCAAACTGATGTCCTCCTGGTTTTGGATTCCAACTTCATGTAATTTCTAGCAAGCATCTTAATATCCAGTGCTTCAGAAGGGCATCGGCTTGGGGAATGGCCAGCTTTATGGTGGGCCTTCTGCTGCAAGAATGGGATGATTTATGCTTGCTCCTTTTTCTACCAGAATTTGAGGCTGCCCGGAAACGAGCAAAGAAAGCCAAACAGGCCTTCGAACAGATAAAAAAGGAACGCTTTGACCGCTTCAACTTCTGCTTCGAATCAGTAGCTACCAACATCGATGAGATCTACAAGGCTTTGTCACGAAATAGCAGCGCCCAGGTGAGGATGCCATATTTGTTCAGGTTCGCCTGGTACGTCAGTTGCACCCCTTCCTGGATCGGGATGCTCTGTGCACAGTCACTCATGCCCTCGTCCTTTCTCGCCTGGACTACGGTAACGCTCTCTACGGTTGCCCTTGAAGAGCACCCGGAGGCTTCAACTGGTCCAGAATGCGGCTGCGCGGGTTATCATGGGGGTACCTAGGTGCTCCCATGTTACACCCGTTTTGGGCGGCCTGCACTGGTTAGTGGTTGTTTTCCATGGCTTAGGCCCAGGGTACCTGCGAGACCACCTACTGCCACCAGTAGCCTCCCACCGTCCAGTGCTATCCCACAGAGTTGGCCTCCTCAGGGTGCTGTTGGCCAGACAGTGTCAACTAGCGACCCTCAAGGGGAGAGCCTTCTCTGTGGGAGTGCCTTCCCTCTGGAATGAGCTGCCCCCAGAGCTTCGTATAATCCCCGACCTTTGGTCCTTCCGATGCGCCCTAAAAAGTTGGCTTTTCCAGCAAGCCGGCCTGCCCTGAACAAAATAAAATAGAGGATTGATCTAATTCTTAATTTTAA